GGGGTTGAGTTAGTTAAGTTATAAACTCGAAATATCAAACTTGGTTTTCTTTTGAAAGTACTCTTAACACAGAGAGATGCTTTGTAATATACTGTAGATTTGGGTATGACTGTCAATGCACATGATTATTTGGTGACTTGTTTTGAAATTAGCAATTCATAAGGGAGGGTCGGGTATTCTGGCGCACCTAAGCTGCGCTGCCAATTAAAATTTTATAAATTAATATTCATTTCTAAAATTCATTTAACCAACTAATTTAATGCTTGACTATTCGATAATAAAAAAAAAAAAAGGTATTTTTACTAGAAAGATTTGTTTATTGCAACTTTTTTGAAAGCGATTTTTTAATCGTTATTTTATTAGGTGGGGGGATTGTGGCGCACTTACAAATGGTAAGATATTCATACTGCATAAATTACATAGTTGATACTTTTTATATGAATGCATCAAGATGGAACTTATTAACATCCGATATTAATGAACTGTTATGCATTACTATTAATTTTTTTTTTTTTTACGTAATCGTTCTTCTTTTCTTTGCTCTAACTCAATCTTTTTTTGTGCTTTTTTAGCTTCCTGATCAGCTCGTTTTTTGGCTGCTGCTTCTTTTTTTTGCTTTGCACTTTCTGCCTTCTTTTTTGCTAACTCATTCACTTCTTTTAATTGTTGTAGACTTTCTTCGTTAGTGAGAAGTCGAGCAAACGGAAAATTTTTTCTTTTTTTTAGCTGAACAGATTCTGATTCGACTTGTGTTGGAACTCTTGAAGTAGGATATTTAAGAGACATTTTTAATGGGCAAATACCGGGATTTTTAAACGTCTCGAGTTCTTCTTGCATTGATTGGTAAGATCGTTTTATGGCTGTATTTTCTTTTTTTAAAGAATTAATTTCTGCTAAAAGTTTATTTACACTAGTAACACTAACCCAAGCAGAATTATTTGGATGAAATGAAATATTAGAATGATTATTTAGTTGAGAGGATGATATATTATTTGGTGAAGGTAGCTCTTGTTCAACTTATGCAGATGAAGATATATGATTGATTTGTTCAACTTGTGTAGATGAAGATAAATTATCGATTCGTTCAGTTGATAGCGAAGGACCAAGACGATCTGGGCTTATGGCATTAGGGTTAAAAGGCCAAATACCCGTAACTCTATAAGCATTAGTAATCGCTTCGGGAGTATAAGTCTTGATAAATGCTGGCCCAAGCATTTTTGCAAATGTATATTTAGTTACTAGCTCACTAGTTTCACTGTGAAGTTTGTCACAACCTTTACTGTATTCGGATTTAAGTTTAGCGAAGGGTAGCTCAGATGGCTAGAGAATGTGATTAGTATGGGGTGGGAGTGCGAAAAGTAGAATTCTATTTTCATGACAAAAGTTAACACTCATATAATTTACATGACTTTTATGTCCATCTAGTATTAAAAGGACGGGCCGACTAGGTGGAATAGAATTGATAAAGTGTTCAATATACATTTGAAAAAGACTTTCGCGCATATACCCTAAGTCGGTAAATCCCATAACAGTACCAGCTGGAGCACCATTTAACAAATCTGGAATTGTACGAATGCCTTTATAAATAAATAATGGAGGGATGTAACTACCAGCGGCTGAAATTGTTGGAGCGACGGAGATATGTTCGTGGGAATTGCCATGTGCTACTTTATGAACTTGACGGGAACCTTTTGTAGCAAGAACTTTTTGAACTTTAGGTGATATGACAAACCCGGTTTCATCCATATTCCAAATTCGATCAGGGGTAAGAGAATTTTCTTGGATTATTTTTTGAAGCTTATCAAAGTAGTCTTTTACAATAATTGGATTTGCCTTTTGTGCACGTGCTTCTGATAGGGCCTGAGGTATACGAAATGATAGATCGGGATGGTTTTTTAAAAAGCGTGACCACCAGGCCTTGCCAGATCCACTGTCTTTAAAAGGATGTCTTCGATTGTTAGCATTTACAATACTCATCACGCAGTAGTTTAATCCTGTTCGTGTAAGTCCAAATCCTAATTTTTGCATATTTTTACAATATCCAACTAATTGTTGTTCTTCATGTTCACTTAAAACTGTTTGAGGGCCAGGGCGGTTAGGCAAGCCATTATTCTTTGCACGTCGTAAACTTGTTTCAGCAACTTCAAATTTTAATGCAGTTGCTCTTATGCTAGGTTGGTCAGGACTATTAAGTGCCTCAAGAGCCGATTTAATAGATTTTGTGTATGCAGTTCAGTTTTTTTGAGGTTTTGATTTGTTTATAGTAGGTTTCGTTATAATTTTGGGCTTGGACGAAATTTTAAAGCTCATTTTGCTTTTTTTTTTAAAAAAAAATTTATTTTATTTTATTTTATTTTTTTCTTTTGAAAAAAATTTTTTTTGTGATTTATATAATTTTTATGCTGCTTTGTATGCACTCACGATCATGATCGTAATTGATCTTTTAAGAAGTATTATTTTATTGTTTTAATTACGATCATGATTTTTTTATATAGCAGCTTTTGTATGTAATTACGATTGTGATTAAAACAAAATAATATTTGTTGAGATCGTGATTGTTTTGCGTCTTTTGCATATAATCACAATCGTGATTTTTTTTTATATAGCAGCTTTTGTATGCAATCCTCCTTAGAGTTAGCCAGGGCAGCCCCCTCAAAGTGCCAGTAACGTAATCATTTCTATCAATCAGATAACACAATATATATTAACAATAAGTATTACTTATTGTTAATATATATTGTGTTTATTTGATTGGTGGAAGTGATTACGTTACTGGCACTTTGGGGGGCTGCCCTGGCCGACTCATTATACTTATAACCATATTTATTTGATTTCTTTATATGCAGTTATAGTTTTTGTCTGCAATCATGATCACGATCATGATTGTTTTCTTTCAGACAATTAAGATTTGGTTCAGTGTTGGGCTTGGACATTGGACCTGGACATTGGACCACTCTTGTCTAATTCAGTCCAATCTATTGGACCAAAGGGTATTGGATATTGGACAATGGTCCAATAATACTAACACATAATATTACGTATCATAATTGGCTATTACTATATGGAAAATTACTTATTAAGAACAAAAAAACTTCAAACAGCTGAGATCACGAAAGATCTCAAAGTCTATTAACTTTAATTAGAACCAATTTGAATAAACCCGTATGTTACATAAAGTTTTAACATTAATAAAAATTAGCAATTCTTTAAAGTAGCGATTTCAACCTCTAACCTTAACAATAATAATAATTATAATTCAAAATTAAAGCTCAAAACTCTTGATTTGCTTAAGTTATTCGTTATATAAATTTTTTTAATATATTAGATAATAAAAAAAACTTTAATAGGTAATTGGACATATTGGATCTGGACCATGTCCAGGTATATGTCCAATGTTCGTGTCCAGTCCAATAGTGTTAAAAATAGATGGACATATGTCCAGTGCTAACACTGATTTGGTTATTGTTAGCTATGCGAACTTTACAAGTATGTGGGGCTTCAGTTTCGCAAAGCATTGGCGCTGGAAGTATAAGTGATATATTTAATTCTGAAGATAATTAAATGTTTTAAAACTAGCATACTTTTTTAAAGTAATAAAACATTTTTTGAACTATTTTGTAAAAATTGGCTGTGCTTATGGATAGACTGAATTCTCAAATTTAAAGCTAACTAAATATGCATATCATTTTTACCAAACGGTCTTCAGTATAAATATTTAATGATTAAAGAACAGTGATAAAATTAAAAATTTCTATTCGCTATTTATTGCTATTGTTAGCTTATGATATCGTACTAATTTTTATAAATCAAAAAAGATACTTTAAATAATAAGCATTGACACAGTAAATAATCGGTATATTACCATGATCGTTTAAGCTCTGATAACCTATAAATTTCGTTCACTGCTCATGACGAATTATTAAAAGATTTTTTTAAAAATTTTGTTTTAATATTTTAATATAAAAATTTTACATTAAAAAAATAGAACACCCTCTTAATCTACTAAACAAACCAGAAAAACCAAAGGATACTTTCGACATTTTTTGTGACAACTTAATTATCAACGAAAAAATCTACGATCCTGCAGAAAAAAAGGATCGGCTGAAGTATGCTCTTCCGATCCTTTATGATCGACTGATTGGTGTTGTAAACTATTTTCTTAAATTAATCGTCACAGACGAAATAATTAAATCGATCAGTGAATATCGCAGAAATGGTAATGAATTAGAACGAATAAAGCAGTTTGTCGTTACCTTTGGAGAGGACATATATGATTATGAGTATCTAGCGAAAATGGATTATATTTTAAGAGTATATAAAAAATTTTGTAAGGCTGAAGGTGAGGCTTATGGGGTCAGAATGTTTGACCAGGAGAATAGATATTGTGATACTCTCAAGGGCCTAGAAATGTGTAAATTCACGGATTTGTTTTTTGGAAGAGAAAAATATAAGCCTGTTTTTCAAAGCTTTTATGACGACTGTCATAGTTCCTGTGGTGAGGAGGAGTTAAATTTATATAGAGCAAATTTACGAGTTCTTGACGTAAATTTATCATCAAGAAATTAAATTATGTTATGTATTATATGTATAATTAATAAATTACTTTATTTGGCCAGATCGTCAAGGAGCATGCTGGGTGTGCCGAATACATATTTGTTAATTTTTATAGTTTTTTTAATAGCGTTTTTTATAACTTGGGGCCAAGAGTTCCATTTAAAGTGATTTGTGTACTATTCGATTCGTCTTGATAAGACGAATTAAATGGTATTAAAATCATTTGATTCTGACCATCGTATCTCAAGATATTTTAAAAAAACTTGAGTGCGCCACATTACCTCCCGCGCCAGAATACCCGACCCTCCCTTATCTGACATTTTTAATTTCGTCATAATCTATATTATTACAAAATTTTAAAATCACTGAAATCTCATTATTCTCTGGTTTAGTATGATTGTGTCGCGCAATTACTTGTTAATCAGATTATTATGCTCATTACGACCTTTACACCCATTACCATCATTACACTCATTACAACCATTACACCTATTACGACTATTGCACCTATTACAACTATTACACCTATTACGGCAAAAAATTACAACTTCGAGATTAAAGGTTGCAACCTTCCAACTCTAGTAAACCTATTACAGCAGGCAACCTTATAATAAATTGTAGATAAAAATTATTTAATCTAAAGTTTTGCAAGTGCCGTACACGGGGCACTAGTACCTGTTCAGCACTTGTAGAAACTCCTACTTATCTCAAAACTAAGAATCTTGAAATACTTATTATTGTTCTCTAATATTTTAAAACTATTCATATTAGAGAGCTTTACTCAGTATATACAGTTATAAGAGGAGCCAAAATTGACTTTGTTTTGTTAATCTTGAAGAAAATATAGTTTTAAAACTAGACTAGTTAAAAAAAGATCTAATGCTTATTATCAAATTATCTGTATAAGCTACTACTTTGAATAAAAAGTCTTGAAAGCTTATATCTTCAATATTATTGTATATTGCTTGAATGAGCAGATTTATTGCTAAAATATAGAGTAGTAGTTAGAATAGATCATCTTGTCTAACTTTTTTTTTAACTTTAAAAAGTTATGAGATTCTTTCTTGATCTAAGATATAGGCTTATTGTATTACAAATAAATTATTAATTATGTTAATTATTTTTAAACAAAAGCTTATTTTCTCTAGTGTGAGATTCATAAATTAGTGGCTAATATAATTAAATACTTTTTGTTAATCAAGAAAAAGAAGCTAATACTATTTAGATTAATTATTTTAATTTTTCAATACTGTTATAATATCAAAAGTGAAGTCTATAATTGACTTGTTAGCAATAAAGACTTGTTGAGAAAGACTAATAATTTTATTAATTAATTAATTAATTTAATTAATTATTTAACCCCCTTAATAATATTTTTTGTCAGTATAACTATGATCATTTCCATTTGTATATGTATTTGTACATGTATATATAATTGTATTGGCCTTTGTCTTTGCCCGTGACTCGCTACATTTCCTTTTTGACTAAAACAGTGTAGATTTTCGTCCAAAAATTTTATATTATCACATAAGTACTATCTTGAGAAGTACTGCGTTGCGCACTCAGATTTATCTGCGCTTGCCCCCCGAAAATTTTTTATTGTATTCAGGTTGTATTTATTTATTTTTTGTTTTTTTTTTCGTATAGGGTCATATCATGTGAAATTGTTTTCTTGAAATAGTAAA